CAAATAAATTATGCATGGAATTGAATCAGGTATGTCAAGGCTCTAACCAACAAACCTGTAATCGAATATGGTTTCCATATTCAACGAAGATGGTCTTCATGTAGACCTTGGAAGTTTGGAAATTTGGAAGTTGAAGTGTACACAAAGACAACCACATGCTTTCATTTCTCACCGCCGACGAGCAGATACTGACGTGACTTGGATATGTATCAGACCTCTTGTTTCCCTTCAGAGATGAAACGGTCATAGATATGCCAACCTCGAGCTCAGTCCACATCCAGTTTCCAGTGCTCGGACAGACCCTTTCGTCGATCAGTACGCGTCTCCATGCTTTGTGTAACAGGGCTGAGATCGGAATATGAGACAATGCGACAGATCAAAGGGAAGTCGACATCATTGGAAGCACGTTCAGAGTCCCAATCAGTGTGACTACATGGCCCACGCCTTACAGTATGGCACATTCCACCCCGTGGTCACCGCCAGTCACTGGCCCCTTGCGTCCGACACCACTCACAGCTACAGTCAAGCGTTGAGGCAACGGCGACAAACGTTAGAGCCAACTGGCGCTACTGCTACTGTTAATCATCGCTCACACACTTTGACCTCGAGGAAGAATGTTTGTGCGACATGGGCTGCTTTTTGACGCAGATTCGGGGATCCAAAATCCTGCAGAGTGACCCATACAACATGAACCTCGGCTTCATTGGTCCAACGTGCATGAACCTCTGCAGTTCTCTAGTTCAGGGGGTGTCGGCGATCGGCGCTCCACCCGACAGTCTGAATCAGACTCGCCCATTCAATATGAATTCTTTCAGTGTCAAATCTTTGCGAGATCAGCGATGTGGACATGCCATCCCGTCTCCTTTTCCACAATGTCGAGAGGAGTGTGCCCTGAGACCCGCAAACTATCAGATCGACGAGCGACTAACGCGTCCCGAGATTTTGGGTTCGATTCGACCCACCTATCAGCTTTGCAGCGCACGAAGCTGAATGTGGCTATCTCATCAACAATGACAGGTCTAAAGTGTGGGCCAAGGGGGGGGGCTTAATTTCTTTTTCTCGCTTTTACGGAGAAATTACGAGTACAGAACATTCTCTGTCAATTTCTTGGCTGGATTGATATACTCTTGTTTCCTCCGGGAGTTCGACAAGCCACAATCACCATGTCGAGTCCATTGGTACGCTTTAAATTTCCAGCTTACAACCGCACAGTCTCACTAATGCTATCTGCAGGATCAAAATAGCGACCCAAATGTCGGGTCGTCTCGAGGCGACGCGTCGTCCACCTCGGGCGATGTCGCCAGCAGCCTCACTGGCGGAGGTGGCTCCTCTGGCTCGGCACTGATGATGACTTTATTGCCGGCTCTTGTATACGCTCTTTTTTGGGTTAGCCTGTTCCTGATCTTTCGACGCACTCAGCGCCGGTGGTACGCTCCGAGGTCGCATTTACCTGATCTCCACGACCATGAACGAAGTCCAGAACTGCCCTCTGGTTGGGTCAACTGGGTCGGGACGTTCTTGAAAATCGAGGACAACCATGTCCTGCACCACTCATCTCTAGATGGGTACCTCTTTCTGCGATTTCTGCGAGTATTGGCAGCGACTTGCCTAACAGGCTGCGTAATTACATGGCCCATCCTACTGCCAATTCATGCTACTGGCGGTGGTGGTAACAACCAGCTTGATATTCTGAGCTTCAGCAACGTCACCGATTCTAGGAGATACTATGCAAACGTTATAGTGGGCTGCGTGTACTTCAGTAAGTTAATTTGTGGTTCATTCTTGAGCAGCCACTGATCCTGGTAGCTTTTGTATTTTACGTCGTGACCAGAGAGAGCTTGTATTATGCGAATCTACGCCAGGCATACCTCAACTCGCCGGCCTACGCATCTCGAATGTCGTCCAGAACACTTCTCTTCATGTCCGTACCTGAAGCGTACAAGAACGAGAAGAAGTTACGCCAAGTGTTCGGTGAATCAATCCGCCAAGTTTGGATCACCTCAGACTGCTCGAAGCTGAAGTCATTGGTTGGGGACCGAGATAGTCTTGCCGAAAAGTTAGAGACCGCAGAGACTAAGCTCATCCGGCGAGCAAATAAGGCTCGCATGAAGGCGATCGAGAAAGGCGAGCTGGGAATCGACACATGTCTGGACTGTGAGTCAAGCAATCCTGCTTGGTCTCACAAAGTCCAGCGACCTACGCATCGTCTTAAGTTCTTTGGCAAGAAAGTTGACTCCATTCACTGGTATCGGACCGAGCTAGCGAAGAAAACCGAGGAGGTTTCTATTCTCCAGGCTAAGCATCAGGCTGGTGATGCGAAACAGCTTTCTGCAATCTTCGTGGAATTCAACAGCCAGGCCGATGCGCAGATTGCCCTTCAGACTCTTTCTCACCACCAGCCGTTCCATATGACTCCACGCTTTGTTGGAGTCTCACCCCGAGAGGTTGTTTGGTCGGCACTGAATCTGAGCTGGTGGCAAAGAATTGTCCGAAGATTCGCAATCCAAGGATTTCTTGCAGCATTGGTCATCTTCTGGTCATTTCCTTCGGCGATTGTGGGTGCAATCTCTAACATCAGTTATATTTGCACCCTTATTCCCTTCCTCCAATTCATTCTCAAGTTGCCCGACTTTGTCACAGGCGCAATCGAGGGTCTCCTTCCATCTGCAGCATTAGCCGCTTTGATGGCACTGGTTCCGATCATTTGTCGTGGTATGCTTCGCAGACTCCATCTCCTTGCTTGGCCCTGCTAACCTTTGTACAGTATGCGCCAGAAGAGCAGGAGTTCCATCAACGGCCCGGGTTGAACTTTTCACACAGAGCGCTCATTTCGTCTTCCAGGTAGTGCAAGTTTTCCTGGTTACCACATTGACGTCTGCCGCATCAGCTGCTACAGCACAAATTGTCAAGGATCCTCTCTCGGTCAAAGACCTCCTGGCACAGAATCTACCCAAGGCTACCAATTTTTACATTTCCTACTTCATGCTGCAGGGATTGAGCATGAGTTCGTTGGCTCTTGTTCAGATCGTCAGTGCCTTGGTGTTCAAATTTGTTACGACTTTCTTTGCATATTCCCCGCGTCGTCTGTTCCAGCGATGGGCCGAGCTTGGAAGTCTCAGCTGGGGCAATGTCTTCCCTGTTTTTACCAATATGGCTGTGATTGGTAAGTGATCCATGTTATTTTTATCCTTGACGCTCACTGATTGATCTGCATAGCATTGACATACTCATGCATCGCACCTTTGATTCTCGGCTTTGCATTCCTCGGTCTATACCTTGTATACCAAGCTTATCGGTACAACTTCCTCTTCGTGTATGACACTCAGGTCGACACCAAGGGTCTAGTCTACCCACGCGCTCTGCAACATCTGTTGACAGGGCTCTACCTGGCCGAGATTTGCCTTATCGGTCTCTGTGCCATCAAGGGTGCTATCGGTCCGGTGATCATCATGGTCATCTTCCTCATCGGCAACATCCTAGCACACATGTCCCTCAACGAAGCACTAGCCCCGCTAAACTCTTTCCTCCCACGATCCCTCGATGCCGAGGAAGAGATGCTACAAGAGAAGGAAGACGCCTTGGCAGAAATCAACGAGCAACGCCGGAACTCCCGCGCATTGGCCTTCTGGAGATGGTTCCACCCAAACGTGTACAAAGACTACGCAGCATTGCGCCGAAAAGTACGTCGCAATGTGGCAGAGATCTCATACACACCAGAGGAACTGCGAACAGCCTACTTTGAGCCGTGTATTTCATCGCCGCCGCCAACATTATGGATTCCACGCGATAATTGGGGTTTCAGTCGACATGAGATCATGGAAACCGATTCGGTCATCAAGATCACGGATGAGGGCGCCCACTTGGATGGGAAGAATAAGATCGTATGGGATAAATACGATCCCCATCTTCCACTGCGAGAACGGAAGACCCTATATTGATTTGGGTTATATGCCAGAGACATTTAATGATCTATGAAAGCGATGAGCTACGCTTGTACATAATGATGTTTTGACTGTTAGCATAAAATAATTAATGAAATGTAAGAGCTATACTAGAGAGTAAGATGGATACAGTATTAAAGAGCCCTAATGACTATTAGTGTATTATCCCTAAAATTGGAGCTTTATGTTGCACTGCTGAACGCTTTTCCTTCCTCCTAGGAAGCGCTACTTGTTCCTACGAACCCGCCGGAACAGTATACCAAACCAGATGATAGACAACTATTGTTGTTAGGGTACCTTTGTAGACAATGGGTTTCAATTTCTATGAACTTGTGGGCCTGGTTAGGGCAAACATCCAACCATGTCAACCTGGAAATCAACTATCTTGCCCGGAGTCACAATATGAGCTCCCAATCAAGACACCGATTGAATCTCTCAGGTACCCAATCCTTGAAAACACCTTTAATGGGCCCGTTCGTGACCGAGATGTAATGGCTCATCCGCAGCCTGTGTAAAAACAACCTATTTGGCCCAGCGGTTGTTGCTTTACATGTGAGGAGGAAATATGCCAGTCTGCGCTCGAGATATGTTGCCAACGATTATTTAGACTCTCGACATTATGTAGGACCGACTATGAAGCCCTCGTAATAGTATTCTGCGCGCGCTTTCAGAGACGTAGATAACTTAGTAGCACATTCACCTCCACTTCCAATATGTAGGTTACAACCGTCCTAAATACGATGAGAAATACGAATAAGCGAGCTTCGTTGTACAGTGCTGAGTAGTCATAAATAGGTTATGCCCTTGAGTGGATTGTGCCACACGGTTGGAGCATTTGATCTAAATTTGGTGATGCGAAAGTCTACTGAGTACCCTGAGTGAAGGGTGAGCTGATCCCTAGCACTCAGCGAGCATATAATACAATTGAACCGAATCGAATCACGTTATGTTTTAATGAATAAGAATCTAGTAAATAGGACGCTTAAAATGGCGTCAATTAACCGTCACCAAGCGTTGTGGTGTAACGTCTGAAATATTCCTTCTGCTATCAAAGAGGCACTAAACAGTCAAAGTGAAGTTGACAGCATTCACAACGCCATTGTCCCGGGGGAAGAACTCAAACGTGAAAACAGTCGATTGGCCTGCGGAGATGACGGAGCTAATCACCGACGAAGTGAGTATCACGTTGGATGAATCCCAATTATACTGTCCACTATAGGTCTAGATGAAATAGTTAGCACACGGCATACACGACGGAACCAGGGGCTCAACATACCGTTCTGGCCTGCTGGATAGGACCGAGGTATACAGTCCAGTCATCAACCAAGTATGTTCCACTCTTGGTGAGAGCCTTGACAGCAGCGATAGTTGGAAGTCCGCCCCAAGTGATCGGAATGGAAAGATCAGAGCCAGAGACCGAAGATGCCACAGCCGATGTACTGGACAAAGTCGGAGTCTTCCACTGAACAATCTTTACCACAGGGGATGAAGCGCCACCAGAGAACTTCAGAGTCAAGGTAGCAATTAGTCCTGGCGCCGTTGTAGCCGAGAGATGCTTTGACAGGTACGAAGCCGTAAAGACGATATTCGCACCCGAGACCGAATAATCAGTCCCAGACACCAAAGTCGAGCCGGCAGAGTCGCTGATCGATGAGAGCGTGTTGCCGTTGAAGATGAAGGGCAAGGTATACGCAGCAACGGCAGTTCCATATTGATGGAAGATATATGCGGATGATGACTGGGTAGTGGCAGAAGAGTCTTCAGTGCTATCCGGCAAGCTGTTGGCAGTAGACGCAGTAGATTTCGTGATCATAGAGATCGAGTTAGTGTCTCTCCAGGTGCTGGCAGTGCGGTCGAGATGATCCAATCCATTATCCCACAGTACGCAGGAGATATCAAGTTTGAGGGCTGTTTTGATCAGGAAGTCTACGTATTTCCACCGGGCAGCGGGCTCGGTGTTGGTGGGTGATGCGTCGTATTCTCCTAAGAGGATAGGCACGTTGGTGAAGTTGTTGCGGAGTAGTTGGAAGTCGGTCTGCACTGTGGCTTTGTCGCTGTCGGAGCCCCAGATGGTCTTTCCCCTGCTTAGGGTTAGCAACGAGTCGGTCTGTTAATGATACACACTTACCAAGCGCTGAAAATGAAGTCATCTAAAGAGGATTCCGCTGGTCAGATTTGTACACTGTATCCAATATGACAGGGGTACTCACAGGGACTGTAGTAGTGGAATTGGATTGCATAGGGGTTTGAGAACCCAGTAGGAGCAACAAACCACTGCGAAGTCTTGACGCTATCCTGGCCCCCACCATTGAGAGTAACGACTCTCTGTGAGTTGAAGCCACCAGCATCATTGATAGCCTGGAGGAAGATCTTGTTCAGCTTGTTGATCTCCGCTCCATCAGTTGCAGTATTACACGGGGGCTCATTGATAGGTTCAAATGCAACAAGACTAGACTTGCATGCCAATTTCGTTCCAATTTGATACCAGAGTCGATAAAACTTCTCTTCAATCATGGTGAGATTGGCTCCGGACTGAGTGACATCTGCCCAGATCCACGAATCTATTCCCAGTCAGTATAGATTCATATTAAATAGTCTCATGGTGCCATACCATGATGCACATTAACAATGGCGTACAACCCACGAGACACAACCATATCCACAACATCAGAAACTCGCTGCAGCCACGTTGGATCGACAGTCCAATCTGGCGAGCTTCCCGTAAAATGATAAGCCCATGTAACCGGGATGCGGACACTTCTGAAGCCAGCAGTCTTCACAGTATCAAATGTCGATGCCACAACAGCAGCATTGTTCCAAGACCCCTCGTCAGGAACAGCATCGAGTGTGTTTCCGAGATTCCATCCGGGATGAAGGCTGGAAATGAAGTTTGAGGCCGATATAGAGCTGAATGCTCCAGTGCATGTAGCCGCTCCCGAGGAAGAAGCAGTGGCAGTGGCAGTCTGGGCAGTGGTTTTGGTCGTTGTGATCAGCGTAGTAGTAATGGCCTTGGTAGTGGAAGTGGTGGTCACTGCAGCTGCCGTGGTCGTGCTGCTACTTGTTGTGCCTGGTATGCATTGATAGTACCCTGGAAATATGTGAGTTTAGTCATATAGAGTGTTCAACCCGACGTACAAGCATTCTGTGAAGCACAGACATAGCCGGCGGTGCAACTTGTGCTTCCGGAGTATCCATTTCCTCCGCCTAAGGTAGATATTTATTAGTATCTTGTGTTGTGGTAAGTCTTCAGTGAAGACGATTGCATACACTGGCCGTAGCCTCCTACTTGGGCTTGGGCTAACCGAACGAGTCCCACAAGGGCACCAAGAATGAGAATCTGCATCGTAAACTATGATGTGAGAACGATTGATTTCTAAACCGCAGAGCTCACTTCCTCATTTCTACGGCTGCAGGGTGCGAGGTTATATATGTCCCATATCACCGCTATAAACAAGCCCTTAAGACATATTCATTTGGAGGCCCGGAGTGGCGCAAGCTATCAGTCTCTTCATCACCACATACTAGTCCTAGTTCCACATCCAAACGGGTAATTTGAGAGAAAGACGGAGTGGATCCCGACTATACAGGACTTCACGTGGATGAGAGCAGGGATAAACTCTGCAGGTATATTCCCCGCATTGGCAGAGCATCCCAGTGTCGAATCGGTCCGGCGGACCGATCTGTATTGTTGAACTACGAGGAATACTGCTGTGGAAAAGCTCCGGGGTTTGGATTTTGCCTATGCTCGGCATATGTTGCATGCTGAAGGCTTGGCAACGAAGACTAGCTGTCTGGGAAAAAGGCGCAATATATCCTCCAATGGGAATCATTTATTGTGTATCTAGTTACTCCTTATTTTCCACAGCTGAAAGGAGGAAAAACGTCCGCGGACGAGTCCGAAAGTAGGTATGCAGTATGACGGTCGCCTGATACAGGAGTTCGAATATCCTGCGGAGGGCGCGGAGAAGGTCCGTGTTGGTTTGTATCAAGCCGTGGAGAATGAGGAACATACGCTGTGCAAAAGTAAGTATCATTTTAAATCCAGCAAATCCTACAGGCCAAGCGAAGGCACGTTCCTCCTTTATGCGTAATAGATCGTCATATTCATTCCGTCATAGAACATTAGCCGTATTTGAAAACAAGCAAAAGCAAAAACACAAAGTAATATGCACGCTGTGACTGCTGATCTTGCATCGCTCACATCATTATGCAATCTTTGTTCCGATCTCTGTTCATTCGATCACCCCCTGAAGACACCGAGGGGCGTGAACGATGGGGAAGTTGTGGGTATTGGTTGCGCGAGTTGCGATTTCCTGGGTACTGATTCGCTGCACCGCTGTAAGATCTTCTATCGGGGGGTGAGTACCGCGGACCACCGGCAGCTTGTTCATACGGAGGAGGGGGCACGTTGGGATCGTCAGGGTCAGTTTCCCGGTGTGGAGGACTAGGCTGAGGGCCAGCCCCGTTGAGAACGCTCGAAGATCGGTTAGGCACATTGCTCATGCGGGGCGAAGGTGATGGTCGAGCAGAAGAACTGTTTCTAGCCGATGCGCGACGATCAGGCACCGGTTGGTTTCTGTCGTTTTCACGTTGCTCCTCTTCCTGGAACTGAAGCGAGAGCGCATATGCATAATCCGCATCGCTCTGCTCTTGGGAAGGTTCCGGGGAGTGTGGGGTATCGCCTGCAGCTGGAGCACGACTGGCTGCAGCACTAGATGTGCGGGGACCTGCGGGGGCGAATGAAGCGGAGGGACCTGCGCCGACGGGACGGAAGTCGCCAGAAAAGTATTCTGTGTTGAATCCTGTCACATCCACTAACGATTCCCAGACTACTTCCGCGTGACCTGCATAGCCAGCATCGGTGACCAAAGTGTAAAGTTGGTGAGATTGCGGGTGTTTGTAAAGTGTTGAGAAATGATCATTGCGGAAGAGAATCGAGACAGAGCCGGGTGCAAGTTTGGTAGACAGCTGTGTCAAGCCGAATGGGCTCAACTGTGTCGCATTCTCGATTTCCACAAAGCGTTGGATACTTTGAATATCCTCCATGGCGTTCTCTTCCTCGGGCGTCAGGGTTTCGCCTCGAGTGACCCGCTCCTCAAGGTCATGTCTGCGAAAGGGTAAAAGCTGGATGTCTTCATGGTATTGGGCAGTCCGTATCATTGCGGCATGAGTAGGGCTAGACCAGGAGGCTAGCCAGCCGTGAATTAAGGGTACACCAAATGTGCTGTAAAGCCGAAGATCACTCGTTGCAAGGAAAGAGCCAAATCCATCAGTTGAATCTAGGGTCAAACGTGGGTTGACATTCATGCCGGTATGAAGCATCGTCAAGAACTGCGTGAGGGCTTCAATATCTGGGAATTCCTCATCAGGACCCAAACAAGTTGTCAGCTCCTCAAACATTGCCTCTATCAGGAGTCCTAGCGAAATGTGCTCGCGGATTGACAAGGCCCTCACAATTGGTGGTTGGGCCTTGGGGTCCGCCCGCAGCACCAATGCATTGATGAGAGCCAGCAATGGGCATGGACCGTTTTGATTTTGGACAAGGATCGGAGACTCCACCAGTTCACCCGTGCTATCTGTCCAACGGACGTGGCGGATGGTATAGGTTTCGGATCTCTGCTCCTTTTGCCGTGCAGCCTCTGCGTCAGATAAGACGGGGCTCGGTTGAGGTTGCAGTTGCTTTTCCGCTATAAGCTCTGGCTGTGCTTTTATGGACGTAAGATTGTGTGATCCAGTATCCAATGGTTTTTCTCCTTTGGCGAGAGCTTCTGATGAGTAGACCGAAGACGCTGCATGAGACCCGGTTTCAAATCCCAATTTTTTGGGGGCCTCGGTATCCTCAAGGTCAATCAGTTCGTGCGATGTAGCTGAGGTGGCGGTAGACAGGGTGACAGAGGGAGTGTTGATTCCGGCATCTGATCCAAGCCTGCCAGGATGCGTGGATTGAGTGTGATGCGTGTGATCATATCCATCTCCCCAAGATGGGTCAGATGGCTGTACAACCACTGCTGGGGCATGTGGATTGGAGTGTTCCCCTTGTGCATAGATATCTTGTGGAGCTGAAACTTTGATGGATTGTTGGGATCCCCACGGTGAATTATTGTCCAGATGATGGCCGTCAAGCACAGGGCGTTGATCTGTATGAGGTGTTTCAGCCCACGGGGAATGTTGTTCTGGCTCATCTAAGAGAGATAACCGGGCAGTCATTGGGATATACCCCTCGGCTGCAAGTAGTTAGTTCAATGGCCCCGGGAAGCCTGTCAACGGGTGGAGGGATCTGGCATACTTTGACTCAATGGCTCACTGTTCGAAGTCGCCTGTGAATCACGTCCCCACTCATTTCGGTCCAATAGATCCTGGGTATGCTCTGCTGGCCGGGGCTTCAAGAAGGGGTTGTTGGATTGTAGTTGAACCGGTAGCTCCCCAGTTGAGGCATCCCCGGTGTCATTTGAGCGCCATACATTCTCAGAAGCCCCTGTGTGTTGACCTGCGATCAAAGCAGGTGGAACCCAATGGCCAGCGTTGGTATCGTACGAAGCCCCCTCATACTCATTGTTATGGTTGTACTGACCGGGGTAGCTGGGGTCAGACCGGGGGTGATCAGGCCATGAATTCGGCGGGTGGCTGGCCGGAGAGCCCACCGGCGACCTCTGGGCCTCCTCGAGCGGCATCAGGTCGAACGCGGGCGAAGTATTGAGGTCGGGAGAGTAGATGGAGTCCTCTGAGGGAAAGCGGTTAAGACGGCCTGGACGGTGGGACGAGGGGGAGTTGGTTGAAGGGGAAGTGGGCGATCGTGCATTCGATCGCGAATTCGACTTGCTAAGGTTCTCAAGACGCGGTGGAGGCTGTTTGCGCAGGCCCATGAAGACGTCCTTTGATCTTGGAGGTGAGGGGTGAAAGTTTGGGGTACGCGTGTAGTTCAACGGAAAGGCTAATAGCTTTCAAAATCGAGTACACACTCAAAAGTGTCCCGTGAATGCAATGGAGAAAACAGGAGATGAAGTTGGAAATGTATGAGAATAGGCCATCAGGAATAGGGAAAACGCCTTGCGCTTGGCTGCAGGGGAGGCGAAATGCCTTGATACGTAAGTGGTAGGCGGCTCAGCCTTAGCTCCAGCTCGAAACAGCCATGCGCGGAGTAAATACGAAACGAAGGAGATTGGAAGAAAAGATATCAGAGCAGGCACCCGAATTCCACCGGTGGAGGATCGCTGGTTGACCTGGGGGAGCTCCATGTATTGAGATTACGCGGTATTGGAGAATTAGATCATAAATAGAGTGGTGGGATTCGTATGTATGGTACGGTATGGTATGGCAGCATATGACGTAGTGGCAGCCTTATTCAGGCAACAAGGCACTCAGGCAAACAGATGTTAAGGCAATAAGGCCAACGCAGGACTATCTGATAATCCGAGTCTCTCAATTACCACCCTCTGATTGGTCCTCACCCAACTCGCCGATAAAAGTCGCGAATATTTTTGTGAGCTCGAGGGTTTGCTACATCATTGCCATGCATTCCTTTATTCGCCCAAATCAGTTCGTGGCGGTCCGACTACCGTCCGACCAGACCAGAATTGTCAAGATTGTCCCCGATACGTGAGTGTGTTGCTACTCTATGCGGGGAAGATTTCAGCAAGCTAACTGAGCATCCAGAATCGTGAGCTTGGGCAAATATGGTAATTTTGCTGCCAATCAGATTATCGGACGGCCACTCTACTTCACCTTCGAAATCCTTGACTCGCGCGACGAGACTGGCTACCAACTGCGTGTCGTGACTGCCACCGAGTTGCATGCGGAGACTCTACTCACAGAAGGTGAAGGCGAAGGAGACGACATCGAGACTGGCGAAGATGGAATGCCGATGCGGACCAATCGCGAGACTATCGACGAGCGGACTACACAGAAATTGACCGTGGAGGAGATCGAAGAACTGAAGAAAGAGGCTGGTGGCGCAGGAAGAGAGATTGTCGCAAAGCTCCTAGAGTCGCATACTGCTCTGGACCAGAAGACCGCATTCTCGCTGGCGAAATACACTTTGCGCAAGCGCAAGAAGTACATGAAGCGATTCACCGTCTATCCGCTGGATGTCAGCCTCCTTGCAAATTTCTTGCTGCAAGAGCGCGATGCGTCAAAGACCATGGAGCTTCGAGACGAGCACATTGGCTTGATTGGATGCTGGGGCAATGTGCACCACAGCGGAAACGTTGAAGTTGAAGCAGGCATGAAACCCCATGGTCGTTACTTCCTCGTCGATGAGACAGGTGGGCTTGTAGTAGCTGCAATGGCGGAGCGAATGGGAATTCTATATCCTCACGATGCCGAGGACGATCCCGAATACGAGCA